TAGAATATCCTACTAGGGAGGAGTATGATGAATTTTAATCTGAAACTTACATGATTATTTCTTTAATTTGTTCTTCTATTATAGAATATTTAAAAAATCCCATATTGGGGTTTAATGCTATGTCTAGCTGAACTCCTAGACAAAAACTGACATGCATAAGGTAATCCCAAGACATATGGTTGACAGTTGATCCTGAAATAGTTTTACTCTTGTCAATACTTTTCTGCCGAGATGTATAACTGCAGACATTTCTATAGAGACACTCCTTGACTCATAATGAGGTTATATCCTGATAAACCTGTTGTAAACTGAAAATATCAAAAGCTGAAAATGCATTTAACGTACCTAACCTACCAAACATCGTGGTTTAGCCTAACCTACCTTAAATGTGCTCAGAACATTTATGGTAGCTTACAGTTGGGAACAATCATTTAACACAAAGTGTAGACTATATAGTGTAATTTATTGGACACTGTACTGAAAGTGAAAACTGTACTGAATTTGAAAACAGAATGGGTACTTGATATAGGATTTCTCCTGAATGAGTATCACTTCTGCACCATCATCGTCCAAATATTTTAAGTTGAACCTTCATAAGTCTGGGGGTATATTTATTCTGAAGATAATTAAAATATACCAAACCTACACGGGAAATATTAGCTGCTAAAATGAAACAGGTTAAAAATCTATTTCCCTTGATTAAATAATTTCTAGATATCTAAACTTATGTGCTAATATTTCTATAAGCTGTTCTTAGCTTCAATTAATGTTCTAGGCATTTATCTGTGGATTGTTTACATTTATCTCTGTTATTAGTAATTAGAGAAAATATATTAATATAAAATATGACTGTACCCCATTTAGTTTTAAAATACTATTTTGGTTTTGGTTCCTATTTTAAGGCCATTTAGCAAAATATATAAGTTGAAATGATCTTGGCAATCACTGGTTGACATCATAATATAATCTCTCTTATTTTACCTCTTTTTGGGCTTAAGTCTATCACTTTTTGGAATATAAAACTGAAATATTATGGGTTGGTTTCCAGGGAAACTTTAAATTACATAGGAATCCTGAAGATTCACTATATCGAGACCTCAAATAATTTTTCACTAGGAACTAAAAGTCAAAAAGTATGTGAGACACCATGAAACTTCTTATACAGTCTAACAAGGGGCTTCTTAACCTTACCTGAGGAAAAACATAGTAAACATTCAGGAAACATCTCCATACTTAGAAATGTAGTTAGGGAAAAACATAAGGGAAATAGCACAGGCTTTGGAGAAGGTCACACCAAAGTTGGTATCTGAGCTCTGCCATTATTAACTGTATGGCCTTGCACAGGTTACTGTTTTTTTCCCCTAAAAAACCTCAAGTAAATGGGGAATATAATTACCTAATAGTATAATAGATGTCAAAATGTCTTACAGTACCCAATATATATACTAGATATAAAAAAAAAGGGTACTAATTTTCCTCCATTTTCTTTTATTAAGTTCATGCAAATGAACAAGGCAGATTTTGTCATGACAATTTTAGGTTCCAATGTATCTTTCCAGTCACTACATGAAGATATGGCCCTGAAACTCTCCATTGGATCAGGTGATCTTCTAAAGAAAAAAAAAAAGAGAAATGGGTGACCCTACTGGGCTCTATTTAAAGAGCATATTTTTATTTTGGAGTAAATTTTCCTCTCTCTCCAAGGCAGAATGCAATTTCTTTTCTTTTTTTTTTTGAGACAGAGCCTCAAGCTGTACCCCTGGGCAGAGTGCCGTGGCATTACAGCTCACAGCAACCTCCAACTCCTGGGCTCAAGCGAGTCTCCTGCCTCCGTCTCCCAAGTAGCTGGGACCACAGGCGCCCGCCACAATGCCTGGCTATTTTTTGGTTGCAGCTGTCATTGTTGTTTGGCGGGTCTGGGCTGGGGATTCGAACCCGCCACCTTAGGTGTACGTGGCTGGCGCCTTAGCCGGTTGAGCTATAGGCACCGAGCCCAGAATGCAATTTCAAACCCTTTGGGAAAGTTGAAAATTGAGATGAGTGAAATACCATGACTGGAGTCAGCTGATATCACCCTAAAGCGAGAGCACAGCCCAACCTTGGTTGTAAGAACCAGGAGGGGAGGGAGGACCAGGGAGAAAGAGATCTGAGAGTAGTAGCACCCCTAAGTCAGGCAAAGTATCCTCTTGGTTATTCACTTGATGATTCAGCCCATGCTGCTGGTCACCGTGCCTGGATAACAACACTCTAATGGAGTTGCAAACACTGGGGGAAAACCCAAAATGGAGGGCTTGATTGGACAGTGATTGGTGTGATTTGTCTTTGCCTAAATCATGGGCAATTGGGAGAAGAAGAAATACTTTCCAGTGCCAAGAACATTATTGTTTTTGCATTCAACACTTGAAGATTTATCTGTCAGGAATACTTTGTTTTTCATAGATATGTTTTGTTAGAGTCTTGACCAGGTTGCCAACTTAAAGGACAGGAGGTCATTGGGCTCTTCTTTACCTTCTCTTCTGACATTCTTTTGTGCCTGAATTTGCATTTCCTAGGGCTAGAAGGGATTGTCAAGTGGTAGTCTGTGTGTTGAGAGGTACTTTTTTTTTGGCTGGGGGGAAAGGTTGGGTGGCAAGTCTCAAGGAGGACTAGATACCATTACAAAGGGTTTAGCATTTATTCTCAGGGCAATTGGGAGGCATTGAAGATTTTAACATTTCATCATAAAAAGCAACTCTTTTTAGATATGTGGATTTTAAAATACATTATTTTCTATGGCCGCTGTAACAAATTACCATAGGAAGGTTGAAAGAACACAAATTTATTATCTTACAGTACTGTAGGTCAGAAATTTGGCAAACATTTTAGTGGGCTAAGGTGAATGTATAACATAGTTACACTCCTTCGTGGGGAGAATTCATTTTTGTGGTCGTTCAGATTGTTGGCAGAATTTAGTTCACTTTCTCTGTTTTTTTTTTTTTTTCAGAATTCAGTTCAATTCAATACAACCTTGTTTGTAAGAGCCAGGAGTGGAGGGAGGAGCATCATTCAGTACATAATTTAGCGCAGTTGTGATTGCAAGGCCAAATTCCCCATTTCCTTGATAGTTTTCAGCTGATGGCCCTTTGTAGCTTCAGGAGCAGTGATTATCAACTTGTGTGCCATGTGAGGATCTTAGGTGTGCCGTGAAATTTTTAAAGATCATTAATTATTTTCAAAAGAAGTTCAAAACAGTGAGTATATATATTTTTTTAGTCTTTTTCTTTGATCAACATAATTTAAGTGTGAGACAGAAGTTTATGAGTTAAATTGTGCTGTGAGATGAGAAAAGGTTGAAAAACACTGTTCTAGAGATTGCTTATATTCCTTGCTTCCATGGCCCCCTTTCTCCATTTTCAAAGCCCGAGATGCCAGTCAGGTCCTTCTCACGCTTTGAATCTCTCTTGCCTCTCTATTGTTGCATCTCTCCAGTCAAATCTCTCTGCTTTTTCTACTTTTAAGGGTCCAAGTGATTATATTGGATCCCCCAGATAATCTAGGCTAATCTTCTCATCTTAATGTTCATAGTCATAATCAATCTGATTGTATTACATTATATAATATTATATTCACAGGATCCCAGTACTGACATCCTTGCAGGACCATTATTCACCTACTACAAAACTCATTTTAAAGTATAGATTTTATTTTAAACCATGAGCATAGAAAATATTACCCAAGGATAATGTGTGGTTGTTTCTTGAATCTTTACCTGCTGGGAGTTTGCTTCACACATCCTGTATGTCCCAGTCTCTTGGGTATCCAGAGCTCCTATATTATTTCCAGATTTGGGAAATCTGGAGATATACTCGTCTTAGCCTGTTTGAGCCACTATAAGAAAACATCATGGACTGGGTGACTTATAAACAACAGGAATGTATTTCTCACAGTTCTGGAGGCTGGGAAATTTAAGATCAGGGTGTCAGAAGATTCAGTGTCTGGTGAGAGCCTGCTTCTTCATTCTTAAGTGGCTGTCTTGTTGTAACCTCACAATGTAGATGGGGGAAGGGAGCTCTCTGGCTCCTCTTTTATAAGGGCACTCATCGCATTGATGAGGGCATAGTCCTCGTTACCTAATCACCTCTCAAAGTTCCCACTGCCAAATACCATCATTTTGGGCATTAGGCCAAAATGGGCAACCATCATTGGGCAACACTTGAATTGTAGGGACACACAAATAGTCTATAGTGGTACTTTACCAATTTCTCAAGCAGAGAACTGGTAGCTGGTTCCTGCCTTTGCTAGGGTCATGGTCTGTGGCTAATCCTGATTTCTGCCCTTTGCTTTATCTCAGCCATTTCTGCCCCTCAAACTCTCTTCTGCCCTTGGATTATACCTTTTGGATCTAGATGACATCATCAGATTGCTCTAGAGCTGCCAGGCTCCCTCTTGGACTTGATTTATGGTTGTCAACCTTGTTGTGAAGTTTTATTTTTTACTTTCCACTCTTATCCTCTCTCTGCAGCATGCTACAGTCAATGTAGCCCTGAGGTGAGTTATGACTTTTCTTAGGCACTTATTCTAGTATCTAGAATCTTATATAAGAGTGAGCGCTTCAAGCCCTTTGAAAGATGAGAGAGATACCAGGGAAATAGGAGTCAATATCTGTTGTTAGGCCATAGATTCCCCAAACTGAGGGTAAGAGCACAGGATTTAGAAACTGACAATTTTGGGTTCCATTCCAGGTTCTGACATTCAGCAGCTATCGGTAATGTTAAACAACCTCTTTTAGTTTTAATTTTCTCATTTGGGAAGTGGGAATCAAGGATAACCTCAAGGGTTTGTTATGTATATTACATGAGATAATGCATATAACCTAGTATAGTGTAGTAAGTGCTCATTTCATGGTATTTCCCTCCCTGGTGTATCCTATCTTTAAAGATACAGAGGTAAACAAGAAAACATAAGCCATTGGTATGCTGCATCCAGAGGTTTTTATTTGGAGATTTTGAGTTAAAGGAAACTATCAGTTTGTGTAGTCACTGACAGAGTCAATGGCATGCAGGCAGGGAAGTAGGATCTCATGAGTCCTTGGCGGTGTTTTCAATCCAGGATAAATATTTGTATACATTGGTATAAATGCCAACGTCCCCTCCCATGAAATGTCCGACTTCAATCCCCTGGAGCTTGTTTTTGCAGATGACAGTAGCTACAGCCACCTCCTGCCAAAGATCATGAAGAGATGGAGGGAGGGAGAGAGAGAGAGAGAGTGAGATCTTCTCATAGGAACCTTCTCTAGTCCTGAACTTGGGTGAGATATGCCTACAGAGAACATGCTGGGTTATGAAAAGAGCACTGACTTAGGGGACCGAATCCTAGCTTTGCTGTTACCTAGCCTTGTGTGATCTTAAGAAAGTCAGAAAATAGCCTCTCTAGAAATCATGTATAAAATGAGTTAAAGCCCATTTTTTTTTGAAATAGTGAAGCCAGTTTCAACTTGTAAAAAGTTTGATTTGTTTTTAAAAGCAATGCCTATTTTCACTATTTTATTTGCAGCTATGAGAATGAACACCTACCAAGTGTGTTTCAGGCAAGGCTGATGCCCTTTAATGAATAAAGGTACCCTTTAAGGAGAGCTCATTAGTGAAGAAACAGTGGTGGCTTGGCACAGTCTTATCAAATTCTCAAAAAATTATTTAGAAATCAAATATCTTTTTGTATCATGATTAGTTAACTAGATACATACAAGTAAATGAAAGCTGAACATAGAGAAAGGATTACCCCAAAAATTCGACTGAATACTTTCACAAATTTTACACAGAGGGAGTTCCTGTGGCTTCGCCCTTGCTCAGTTTTCTGGCACTCCGCATCAGACATCACAGGGGCCTCCAGGTTCTGCCGCAAGTCGGGGTGTCTGCCTAAGGGGACAGGGATAAAGGAAAACATCCTGTTAACAACACCACTCTCCATTTCAACTAGTGTATTTCTGTGTAAGTCTGAAGAAAACAAGGAATGATTGAAATGGAATAAATGAACTTGAGGATGGTTGTGAGTTTAAAAAGTAGAGTTTCCTTTCTACTCCATGGCCTATTTTGGAGGAGTGAGTGAACTGAGTCACGTTATTGGAATTATTCTTTATAAGTGAAATGCATGTGTATGGGAAGTAGGACCACAGCCTCCTTCATGTGTATGGTGCCTGTGACCATCAAGGTTGGTGTGTGTGGCCTCTATGCAGAGTCGGATGGCCTGGTGTTTCCAGCAGTGAGATGTTAGACACTCCGGGAAAGAAGGAGGTTTGTTCTTCTGGGCAGGTCTTTTTTGGCCAGACCCACACTCATGTGGCATCTCCCTTGGGTCTCCACCAATTCTCCTCTCCTCTCACAGTTAAGAGGAGGCAGATGTTCCTCTTCAAGCATAACTGATGGCCCTGATATGCTGTGGGAGGTACACTCACCACTGTTTTCTTGGCTCCAGTCCAAACCTGAGAGCAGACAGACAGTGCCTGGCTGGACATTACGAGTGGCAAGGGGAAGGGGCTGGACTTTGTGGTTGAGGACAGCAGGCTTATCCAGCTTGATGAGCATAATGTCATCTTGTGGGGAGCTATGACTATAGTTCCAGTAGCGGACAATCTGGATAGGGTTAATCGTCTGCTCTGTCCCATCTCTGATTCTGCTTTTCAAATTTCCCAACATCACTTTCAGATTTCTGTAGAGAGAAGGGGTTTGATGTAATCACAATCATCATCATCATCATCATCTCTAAGACTCTGAATATTACAATGTGCCAGTTACTGTGCCAAGTGCTTTATCTGGATTATCTCATTTAACTCACAAGTCTATACAGCAGGGCTTATTTCTATCCTCCTTTTACACAATATACACTGGAGGCACCCATGGTCATATAGTAAATGGTGGAGCCTGTAACCACTGTGTTTTCATGTAATGTTGGTAACATAGTGGAAAGGAAGATGATGCAATCAAATCATTTTCCTTCCTCTCCAGCTACAGCCTATCCAGAATGAGATGACCTGAATGTTGGGTATCTGGTTCACTAACTACTTTGCTGTGCACCTGTGGAATGTGACATAGTGGACTAAACCCATAGGTTTTTTTGCTCTCTTGCTTCTCATTGGGTTTGGGCCAATAGGAAGCACCAGAAGGAAATTGGAAGAAGAATGGTATAGCAATATTTGTCCTCCCAGCTTCCTCTATGCAGTGTCACCACAGACTGGTTGTGTCCCTTGACACAGGTTACAATTCCTGTCAAATAGTCTCTTCATACGGGTTACTTTTCCTTCCTTGAAAACTACTCTCTCCTCTTTTCTCTTTAAGCCTAGGGGTGGTAACTGCATTTTCATAATAGCAACCCAGGTGGTATGGAACTATTCTTTGTGTTTTCCTTTTGATGTCTCCATACTTTTGCTCTTAGTTCCTCTTAAAAACTCTCCTCAATTTACCCAATCTGAGTATATCATTAGTTTTTACCTGCCAGGCCTTTAACTGATAAAATGCATTCATATTGCCAGAAAGAAGGTTTGAAAAAACTGATGGAGGAGGACTAATATGTAGCAGAGAGTTTCTCAACAGTGGCACTAGTGCTTTTTGGGTTGGACAAGTCTTTGTTGTGGGGTACAACGCTGTGCACCATAGGATGTTGAGCAGTGTTTTTGCTCTGGCCTCTACCCACTAGATGCCACTAGCGCCACCTCCTGATTGTGACAACCAAAACCATCTTCAGACATTGTCAAAGGTACCATGGAAGGAAGTTATCCTTATTTGAAAATCTCTGATCTAGAATGAATAGTAGCCATATCAGAAGCTGGGGATGCCCAGTACTCACGGTAAGTAGCAGTGAGCTGGGGCCAGCACCCACTTGGTTTTGATGAGGACACCCACACAGGGGTTGAAGTGAGATTTTAGGTATACTAAGTAGGGAGCATGATCTTCCTTCTGCACAGATGAGTGAGCAAAGAAAGTTGTCCCTGAGAAAATAATTCATATACAAATTAATATTCTTAATATGTGTTAAAGTAAATAAATTAGATGATCATTTCCTAGTTGAAATATGTATGATTTTAAAGAAGTCATCAATTAGCCAGGAAATGTAAATATTTGACTTTTTTCTCTAATAAAAATGTAAATTAAAATGACATACTATTTTATCTAATTTATTAATTATTTTCTGTTTAATATTGATGATATTTAATCTAAGAAAGAGTATGAGAAAAATCCTCATTTACTGCTTCTTAATTGATGCAATCTTCTTGAAAATCAATTTAGAAATAGGCTTCAAGAATTGTGAATTTTTGAAGAAGGTAGAATGTGTAAAAAACAAACAAATCTATAAGTTATTTATAACTTGTGATTTAATCATCCCAACCCAAGAATGTATTCTAAAGAAAAAATCAGATATAAAGATTATGAATAAGTGTGCTCACTTTAGCACTATAATAACTGAAAATTGGAAACATAAATGTCCAGTATAGTAGTATTGGAGATTTAATAAAGAAACATGTGAACAAGTGGAACATCATATATTAAAAGTTGTATTTATAGGCCAGGTGCAGTGGCTTACACCTGTAATCCTAACATTCTGAGAGGCTGAGGCAAGTGGATCGCTTGAGCTTAGGAGTTTGAGACAAGCCTGAGCAGGACTGAGACCCCATCTCTACTAAAATAATAAAACTAGCTGGGCGTTGTGGTGGTCACCTGTAGTCCCAGCTACTTGGGAAGCTGAGGTAAGAGGATTGCTTGAGCTCAGGAGATTGAGATTGCCATGAGCTATGATGCCACAGCTCTATATGCAGGGAGACAGAGTGAGACTCTGTCTCAAAAAAAAAAAAAAAAAAAGGTCGTATTTATAAAATATATTAAACAACATAGAAAATGTCAAAGCTTTAACTTAAAGCTTCTTTAAAATAGCAATAAAATATATGTAATGTAATCCAATTGTTAAAAAACAAAAAACATATAAAGCTTGAGAGTAAATTTAAACAGTAATGACTGGGAGGTGGGATTGTGACTGATACCTATTTCTTTCTATGTTTGAAATTTTAAAATTTCCTAATATGAACATATAATGTTTTATAAATTAATTGTTTTAAAAATACCCCAGCAAATAAAAGTGGGGGGGGTAGGCTGATTCTAATATCAGAAATAAAGACCTTCTTGTTTTGATGCTCTCAGTTCTTCTGCTAATCCTCCCCAACCCTAGGCTCATACTTCCCCACATCCTCCTTGGTGTGACCACACAGTTAGAAACTCCAAAGCGAATAGGATGGATGGTTAATGAGTGAAAGAAAGATTAAGCTTTATACTAAACATTGTTTCATGTGCTTTACATGGATTTTTTTAATCCCAGTAACTCTATCATGTAGGTAGTAATACCCACATTTTGAAGAAACTAGAACTTAATTAATTAACTTAGCAGAAATGTCATACAATCTAGTAGTCAGGTGTGGTAAGAAGTGCTTCCCCCATGAAATTCTGTCATGAAAACTTAATGGAAGGCAGGTGCTGCAGAAGATAGGGCCCTACTTTGATCTTGTTTCCATGTTCTTTATCCCCTGCATTCTGTGTCTGTAATGTTTTGAAAAAAGGGGGCATATCAAAGGTCAAAATTTATTCTCTATTCTTGTGCACACTGGGACTTACTCAGAGGGTTGAGAACCACTTTTTTTTTGTTGTTGTTTTGTTGGGGACTGAGTCTCACTCTGTCGTCCTGAGTAGAGTGCTGTAGAATCATCATACCTCACGGCAACCTCATACTCCTGGGTTTAAGCAATCTTCTTGCCTCAGCCTCTTCAGTAGCTGGGACTACAGGCTCCCACCACAACACTCAACTAATTTTTCTAGTTTTAGTAGAACTTGTTTAGGCTGTTCTCAAACTCCTAAGCTCAAGCAACCCACCTGCCTTTGCCTCCCAGAGTGCTAAGATTACAGGCATCAGAAACCACACCTGGCCTGAGGCCCATAGTTTTTAATAAGAAGGTGGGAAACACTCACCGTTGAGCATTCTTCAAGGCAGATGTGTGTGCCTTAACTCACCTCAGAGCTTAGCGATACAAGGGTAGGCTCAGCCTGTTCTGAAAGACTTTGGATGGAATCTAAGAGGGGAAACCCCTAACTCTGCTCATGACAGTATTTCTTGACTCTTCTGCAGTTCACACCTCCTGCCTCTGCCTTACCTCATCCTACATTAACCTATGTGTTGCAGAATAGAGCAGGTGGTCTTGGATACATACCAGCAAGGATACTCAAATACAGGATAAGTTTCATGGGGTCCAGCTCTTTTCCTGTGAGACGCAGAAGATCAGCGGATTTGGAGCCCTTAGCTCAGTTGTCTTCTATGGAACAGCTGGTAGAATTCAGTGGATATGGTTAGGTATGGGAGCACTCCATGGGGCTGGAAATCAGCTCAGGGCATACGCAGTGGGAGAAAGATGACTACAGAGAGACAGATGGAAGCCCCTCTGCTCCAGGGAAGGTGGGGACTGTGCCTCCACTGAGGCCTCTCAGGGAAAGAAAATGAATTCCTTAGATTCCTAGATCCACATCCCTCTCTCTGCTGTCCCTAGAGGCACATCTGCTTGAAGGTCATTTGATTGTCCGTGGAAAAGGGAGATCTAGGCTTGGGTTTTACCTTCTCAACGCAGTTTCTGAGGCCAGGGCTGTGGGGGACAAGATTCTCCACCTTAGCTCAGGAAGCATGTGCTGAATTTTGCCTTGAATCTCCTGTAAATTACTGATCCTCTCCCTCAGCCCCTCCCTTCTTTGTTACCCTAGCTTTATCTGCCCCTTTGATCACTATTTCATCACTCAGTCATCATCACCAACTTGGTCTTTGTTGTCCTGATCAACAGCTTTGAGCTAAGGAAATGGGGAAATAAAAAGCATTTATAGAACACTATCTTGAAAGTTGTGGAATGGTTTACAGTCTAGATGACATTAGATTCAGGATCTAATGTGTGTTGGTGACAGTTCAGAAAGCAGTAACTCTAAATGCTTTTTACCTAATGAAAATATTTCTCAGCTAATAATAGATTAGCACAGTCATCCTTGGATAATTGGGTGCATATCCTGACAAGAAAAAGCAGTAATACTGATAGTAAACATTGATTGAGTGCTTACTGAACCTCAGGAACTGAACTAAGTTTCTTACAGACTTATCAGGGGGTGATTTTATATCAGGTTAGTGTGAAATGTAAAATTAATCACATTTTGTATGACTTGAACATTTCAAAGTTTCTTTAATAATCTCATCAAATATCACAACAACCCTAGATAGAAGAGACAGGGCTGGACCTGGTATCATTTTTTCTGACCTATAGGTGGCAGCACTGAAGCGGACAGCGTTCAAGTGATTTTCCCAGTCTTGTAGGTCTTGTTACTGGATACCCAAAGTTTTTCAATTATGTCTTCCAGGATTCACCCCATCAACCAGCAGGGAGCTTGTGGGACTGTACAGTCACTCTCACATATCCCCTGAAGTTTGGAATGAAAACCAGACACGGCGCCCTCTCTCCTGAACCTCTCACAACACCGTGTGGGTAAGTTCATGAATGTACTTGAGGTTGGAAGACAGGGTGGGGTTGTAGAATGTTTTTTTTGTGTTTGTACGGGTAGGGGGGGATTAGTTAAAATAGGTAAAAATTTGAGAAAGAGGTATCCTTTATTTTCAAGTTGTTTTTTGTAAATCTTTTGGACAGATTATGGGCTATGAAGAGAGTTTGTGGTCTGGTGTGTGATCATGAAAGCTAAGAGCAGAAAATAAGGGTCACTATCTAGAAAAAGATCCCTGAAATCAACAGATTATCTGGAGGAGGCTGGCGCTGGGGACACAACCTTTCCATAATGTTCAATTTGTTTAGCTCTAGCCTGGACCTCTTGTCCTGCATATACAGTTTCCCCCTAGAAACCATTGTTTCTCCTTTAGGGTCCTGAAATTTAGCATGTCAAAATTAAATTCCTTATTCCTCCAGCCTGTCAATTTCACTCTTCAGCCTATGTTCTTTATTTTAGGGGATAACTCTACTTTCTGCCTGTTTGACTTCTCTCTTTTTTTTCACCCCAAAGTCGATCTTTCTTTCTGGGACCTCTTGAATTGAACTCCATCTTTCCATTCTCACTGCTGTCATCCTACACAGGTCATAATCTTGTCTCACTTGTACCTTTCTCTTCTTGGCCAACCTGGAATTCTATCTTTTACAAAGGACTATTTCTTTCATAAAATGTAGGTAAGATCATATTAATATTAATCTGCTACTGAATACTCTTCAGTAATTCCATATTGCCTCAGAATAGAGCTCACCTTTCCAACATAGATTAGGGGCTTCCCTTGATCCTCATGATATTGTCTCATCCTCTCTTTGTTACCGCTTACCACCTGCTCACACCACACCCTGCTACTTTCAAGGGTGGGTTTTCTTGTTTTAATACTAATGGGTATTGTACCAAAACTTTTCTTTGAAAAACTAACTTTAGAATCTTAGGTATGGATGTGTGATATTCAGTATTTTCTCATATGTTTGTAAACTTTTTGTTCTTACATTCTTTATGTACTTGTGTTATGATAGATTCCAAAGAGAGATAGAGAACATCCTCCCCTAGTCAGAGAGGACAATGTAGTGATAAGAACAGATTCAGAGATCTGGAAAGAGTTGGCCTTGGTGTCAGTTGGTGTTTGATGTTATGAGATACCACCTGAACAAATGAAGCAATTCTGAGAAGTGGGCTGAGTGTGACTGATAGGAATGAAGGAGGATGGAGTCAGGGTTATACACAGAGCTGGAGACAGAGCTGTAATTCCTCAGAGTAGCACAGAAAGGTGAGAGTAAATGAGAACAACAGAGGAGGGAGACACTAGTCACATTTGTAAGGAAAGGCTAGTGAGAAGAATTGAGAGGCTATGGAAGGCACTTGGAATGAATTTTAATTCCATGGAAGTGAGTCCACAGAAGGGTCACTTGGCTCCAACTTTGAAATTCTCTTTTCTAGATAAGGCAAACAAAGCTCAGATCCCTGAAACTAATTTTTCCTAGGTTAGGTTTCAGTAAGACTGACAATATTTTTATGGCTACTGACACAGAGAGTGCACAGATGTGTGACTGATGGATCCTTTGAACACCAAAGAACAAGACTGGCAGGGAGCCCTCTAGATAATAGACCTTTGTAAAATCATATCCCATTTCTGCTATCTGCACTGTTCAGAATCCCCAGGCAGGATATAAATCCCATCTCTATGTTTTGTCTTCTGGATGGGATACATGCCATCAACATGACGTGTATCCACCTATCAACCATGCTGACAGTGACTGGTGAGTGGCTGAAGGTATATCTTGGGGGATGAGGCTATGGTACTGTGTTGGAAAGTAAGAGCTATAGGACAGATCAACAAATCAAAAAGTTGGTTTTTTGAAAAAATCAACAAATTTGATAAACCTTTGGCCAACCTAACCAAGAAAAAAAGAATAAAGTCTCTAATATTGTCAATCAGAAATGGTAAAGATGAAATAACAGCAGACCCTTTAGAAATTCAAAAAATCCTTAATGAATATTATAAGAAACTTTATTCCCAGAAATATGACAATCTGAAGGAAATTGACCAATACTTGGAAGCACATCATCTCCCAAGACTTAGCCAGAATGCAGTGGAAATGTTGAATAGACCTATATCAAGCTCTGAAATAGCATCAACTATACAAAATCTCCCTAAAAAGAAAGCCCAGGACCAGACGGCTTCACATCAGAATTCTACCAAACCTTTAAAGAGGAACTAGCACCTATATTACTCAACCTTTTCCAAAACATAGAAAAAGACAGAATGCTACCCAACACTTCTATGACGCTAACATCACCCTGATCCCCAAACCAGGAAAAGACCCAACATGAAAAGAAAATTATAGACCAATATCACTAATGAATATTGATGCAAAAATATTCAACAAAATCCTAACAAACAGAATCCAGCAACACATCAAACAAATTATACACCATGACCAAGTGGGTTTTATCCCAGGATCTCAAGGATGGGTCAACATATGTAACTCTATAC